CGAAATTTCCTTTAATAATCCATTGCTGGTCTGAAAATATTCACACTTAAACTCTCATCAAAATAGCAAAGATAAAACCAATCACACTAATGAATTAATAGGTAATTCTCAGCTCTTAAAAATGAAATAATTGAAAATTTAAATTAAAAATTATATCTTACAGATTAGTGATGCTGTAAAATTGCACAGAAGGTATTTGTTTGATCGATATGGTGGATGACGATGTCTCATCTGTCAAATAATGTTATCATTACTAACTTATCATTTATTTCAGCATATTTCCATTTTAAATATATTTTGTATCGAAAAATAACTCGACCCTTGAATTGATTACTTTTTTCATCTTTATTACGTCAATTAGAGTAATAATGTATTCTTGTTTGTTAGGTTTCTAGTAGAGCTTTATTTTTTTTAAATAGATGTAAAAATAGGCGTAAAGAAAGCTAAACATCATAGCTTATTCAATGAATATTAGTCGTTAATATTTGAACCCAAATTTCAGCATAAGATTGGTAATTTTTATGTTAAAATCAAAAATAAAACAAAAAATTGACCTAACGATGCTTTCTTCATATTCAAATAGTTTTTGTATCGGATGATAAAACAGGTGTAAATACAAAATGATAGTAATATTAGGATGCCAACAAGTGATAAGCCGACCCAAAATAATGCCGAGCGTGATATCATTAGGCCAGATGATAATGTACGAGTTGGCTCAATGCATGGCTAAAATATCATTATTTTGTAAATTTTGATATTTCGAAAATTTTTGAAAAAAAAAAAAAAACAAGAAAAAATGCATAAATAATAGCTTTTCGAGAATTTCAATTAAGGATGAAATGACTTCTTTCATAACTTCTCACCTCTATATTAGCTACTTTGAATACTTGATAAAGACGTGATAGCGTGCCACCACCATTTAACGTTGCAGAAAGTATCGAAATGGCACTTTCTTGTCCAAGGATTATTCCGTTACGTAAGGAATGAAAGCATACCGATGACCTATAAAATTATTAAAAAGTTTTTTAGCTTTATTAATTTGTTGAACAAATTTCAAAAGTAATTACAAGAACAAAGATGATGGATTTTTTAATGTGACATATTAATTATTATTATTGTATTAATTTCGCTTACAGAAAGGAATCAAATCTGTTATTTCTTTCTTTACAACTGATAAGGATATTCATTGCGATTCTAAAGAGGAAAAAAAGAAGAAAAACAGATAAAATTAAATTTTAAATACGAACCTGTTTCTTCCTGCTGATTCGTAAACATGAGGTGTGCCAAAAATGACGGAAATGTCGGACATTGTCGGTTCCATTTTTAATGCATTATGTAAATGTCTGTAGAAAAAAAAGGAATGAACAAAGTTTTAATTGTCAGGATATTTCTGGATATGACAAAAATAATGTGATTTCATGAAGTAACATGACAACGATGTACACTTACTGCTTGAAATCCTCAAGATTCAATCCTAGAAGATGAACATTTTGATCGAAGATAAATTTCAACAACGATGGAAGTTTCACGTTATGTACCTTAAAAAAAAGCTTTCGTCTGTTATATATTCAGAAAGGATTGAAGCTAGAATTTGAAATATAAAATTACAAATCCTCCAATACGTCACTTCTTTAAACGTTAATCTGTCTCAAATATTTCAGAGAAATATATTACTAACATCCTTCATTTATTATTTTTATTTATGATTGCAACAGTTTTGAAAAATTGGAATAGTCTTACCTGTTTAACAATATGTGCAATTTGTATGGATTCTGTAGCTGTTCGTTGTTGAGTAGCAACAATATCAAATGTAAACACACCTTCCGCATAATCACCAATCATAGGATCAACACGAATATCACCTGATACTGGATCGACCGAGAAGAATGGCGCTGATTCCGATGGTGCATCTTCATTTTCGGCACTGAACTAATTTAAATATATTTGTATGTTTAGATAAATAATAAAAAAAAAATTCAAATCAGGAAAAGAAAAGTGATATGTACGGTGTGAAGTGCACTGATCCAAATTGATATGTAATAATTGGTTGATGTGTTTTCAATCGAGTCACTGGTATGGTTAATTCGGAATCAATTCCTAGAAAAAAATTATAAGTTGCTTTTAGTGGTTATTACCACACATATCAGAAACTTTAGGACTGATAATGATAACACAAAAAAGTTAACTTACCAAATACACTAACAGTATTGTTTTGAAAATGATATTTCATTTTATTTGCTTGCTCTACAACGCTATTTGTTTCCGTTCGTACCGTAAATGCAATCATACTTGCATTACTACTGTCAAATGATATTTTCGGTGTCTTTGACATATTGTAAGCACTAGAATAATTAAACTTTACAAAGAACCATCTAAATATGAAATACTTAAAGCATTCCATAACATTCGTTAGTATATAGTAATAAGGAGCAGTGTGTTTTTTTTTTTTTGGTTAATTTTCAGACAAAAACCTTTATTGATTGAATAAATTTAATCAGTTTTGAAAAATTATAAGGAATTATATGACCTGGCTAAGACGCATAAATGATATTCATCATATTTGAGATCATTGGGATTTGTCACCGAAACAATACCAGTTTGTTTGTCAATAGTGAATATTCCATCTCGATTTGTACCTTTACTGTGACTTGAGTCAGTTTTTTTTTTTTTTTTTTACATTCATCCAACTCATTAAATTATTCAATTATTTGCTATTTAATTGATATATTCAATCAAAAGTTCACACATTTGTGAGAAATTTTTTGTATGACAAAGCTTACAACTAGGTAACATGTAGTAATATATGGAATTATACGGCGCATCATCTATATCCACTGCTTTCAATCGTCCAATAGTTGTATTACCTGGTTGAATCACAAACACTAAAGGTACTGACTGAAATTTGATAATTATTTATTGCACGATGGAAGTCAACGATCAAAATCAATCAGAAGCTAATCAGCAAATTTTGAGAGTAGATTCTAATTGTAAAGTAAGTTATTTCTAATTAAGTGTCAAAGCAATTCTCTTTTGTTCAAATAAATGTAAATTGAATGATTTATTCAATTTTTGCTTCAATTAGAGTGGCATTTTTTTCAATTGGACAAAATATAATTTTTTAGCAACAAAATTACACTGTGAATTTCCGAAAAGATTGGCAAATTGTCGTTGATATCTTTAACTTCAATTCGCAACAGACGTGTTGCTGTTTTGTCCATTTCCACAGCATTTTCTGCTTTTACTTTTAGCTAAAAATAATTAGCAGTAAATGGGATCAATTTTCTCTTAATTTCATTTGGGAAAATTTACAAACTCTGGAGATTCTCATTTCTTTGATTTAATCAACAGAACTTTATTTAAAAACAACACTGAAAAATATTCTGACTCATCTTATTCGGTAATAATGACATGGAGTATTTCTATTTATTTTTCAAGACATCAATTCATCCGGTAAGCGACAAATTGGTAATTAAGTTTGTGATTGGAGGTATATTATGAAAAGCCATCTCAACGACTTTCTTAATGGCAATTTGAACTCTATTAGTCATCATAAAAGGGAAATAAAAGTTGATGAAACCATTACAAAGTAATGTCAAGATCACAGAATTTGTAGCAAAATGTCTTCTGCATACCATTTTCGACTTGAAGCTGCTCTTATTTATCTTCAAATACGATATTTTGACTCATACAACGGAATGTCTAGACTTTAATTTCAGTCATTCATCGCATTTTTACTTTTTTTGAAGCTAAGAAGATGTTAGCATACTACAATGTAGAAGGAATTAAAAAGAGGAAGAGAATTATAAAGGACTTTAACCTTAGTATACAAAAGTCAACTGAACTTTATGATTTACTTTATAGCTTGCATCAAAATTTCAAAAAATTACTCTTGCTATTTGAAAAAGTTTTTAATTAGATTAGAGATTAAAATTAAGCCACTCATCATAGTTTACTCATTCTGGTGACATTTTTGCACCACAAAAACATTAAACTTGAAAGGTTAATTCTGTTTCGAAAATTTGTCCCAACTATTTATAGCTAGAAATGAAATGCCTGCAAACGAACCCAAGCATTATTGGATATAAGAAAAATAGTAATACTTGAACATGTATGTCGAACAAAAATGCGAATTAGTAGTATTTTCAAATTTAAATTTCGGAAAGTTTTGGGAAGAAAGTCAGCTGAAAGTAATGAATTCTATGATTATAAATTGCAGTGAAAGTTTTCCCGGACATTTCTTTCGAAAAAAGCTGAATTTCATTGTGCATAAATTAATTCAGTACTGATTCTAATAATGGAATACACAATGTGATATTCAAAAGATATTTAGAAACAAATGATTAGGTAAGCACTGCTCAAAGGTAAATATTTTGACATCCGTTTGTCTTCAACAACTATCCCATCTTACAAATAAACTGCATTTAACTTTTATTGCAATATAGTTGCTAAAAGTGATTAATAAAGGAAGGCACTTTGTACAACACTATTTGCAAATATTGATGTACTAAAAAATATTTGAACTGAATTTAAAATGATGATTATATGGATTTGATAGTAAAGTTCGGAATTTTGAAATGAGAAGTTTGAAAAATTAAAGCATCGATTTCGGAATTCAATGCTATTACAAATGAATAGCTAATCGGAAGATATAAACCCGAATGTTAATGATGAATTAGAATTAGGAAGCCCAAAAAGCAAACAATTATAAGATTGAGTTAGCTTTGAAAATGAATGGAGTAAAATAAGGAAAATGTTTTATACATGATTCGAATAAAAGAGAAGCAATTAGTACTATCTAATTTATTTAAATTTGTGAAAATAGACCTCACTGTAGATTTAAACCAAAATTACATGCAGTTTAGAAGTTTTTTAAATTATATTTAATGATAATTAAATGTTATGAAAGATAGTTCAAGGATATTTCAATCTTTTTCCAACAAATAAGGGATGAAATAGTAGTTAAATGAAGTATTTCGATTCGTTTGATAAAATATTAGCTCATTGAATCAAAGATAAGTCTTTTTTTAAGCGATTATCGTTGAAAGCTTGAATTAAATATTAGTGATAAGAAATCATTCTTTATGAAGTCAGAGTTTGAAAGTCAAACTTTATGATTTAGATGCACTCAAGACAAATTCCGTCAAGTGATGTTTGTTTTGAGATTAGACTCTGTGAAATGATATTTGTTCTCAGATTATTCGGATTAATGAGGAAGTTAAATAGAAGTGTAAGAATTTATACTTTTTTCTGAATAAAATTGGCTAAGAACAGTTAAAAGATTAATGAACTGTGTGCCATAACATTGCTTGGCCGTGAAGTACAATTTTCAAATTAGTATGTAAAATGGAGAATATTGCAGTTTGAAAATCAGATATGCTTGCAGTTGTCGCAGCTAATTACAACTAATTATGATAAAAGTTTCGGAAAAATGATTTTTGAAGGATATGAAAAAAGCTTTTGCTTAACGTCGTTATCTATAGTACAATTTTCAGTGCGACAACATTAACAGCAACCAAACTGCCGACATCAAGTTTGGTCGCATCACGTCCAAAAATGAACTGTTCCGGATTTGGCTTTTGTGGATTTGATTGATTGATATCACGTAAATTCCAATACGGACTATGCCATACACTTGTGTCTGTGTGTTGATACGGCAATAATGATGTGTAGAAACGACGATAAACACCTAAGTTAACGAACAAATTGAAGTAAATTTTTCAGGATACAGGATACTTTTTCAGGATATTTTTTTCCAGACATTTTTTATACGAGCGTAAGTTTCTGGACAACCTCAATATTATTAAACTGACTTATAAGTGGACATAATTTTACCTGGATTTAAAAAGAAATTTCTGTCTTCAAATTCAATTTCCCTACAGTAAACTGCATTCTTCACAAATATGTAAACTTTACGTATTGCATTTGAAATCTTGCTTTATCGAATTATCATATTTAAACTATCAAAGGGATTTTCCAGGGTGCTTTGCATAAATGAAAAATTTGAAGAAGGTTAAATTTTTGGAAAGTTTTTTTTTAGCTGACATTTTTTAATGTTGTCAAAAATAGCTATGTCAAGGATGGATTTACCTTGAAAGCAATTTAACTGACAATCGCGTGCACAATTTTCCTCTGTTATAGCTGATATCATCGTTAACGGCAAATGATAGTTACCAGTTCTACTTTTCATGTTTAACACACGGCGATTGTTTTGCCGGAGTGAATGATGAAGAGCTTCCTTCATTCTAGATATTATTAGTCTAAGCTTGATTAGTGATTTCAAGGAAGTTGCAAAGAAAAGTTAAGTGATTTTTTTAATATTAAATTATTCAAATGATCGCTAAAATCACCTTACACCCGGAAAATAACCCATATGTAAACAATTCAAGCTAACAAATAGCTCAAATAACTTACAGGTTTTGTCAAAAGTAAGCGTGAAATCAATTATTAGCTGAACCATATGGCTTAATAATCAGTTTCCATCAATTCCATGATTCTTTAGATATTATTTGTTAAGTGATATGCGCTTAACGTTTAGCATTAGGTTAATATGAGAAGAATAAGTACCTTTTCTCGGATGCAAGATGACGGTGTTTCTCCGGTACCGACCACTGCACCTCACATGCAATTCCTAAGAGGCTAATCTCTTCATGGAACCACAAACTAAATTCGTTGAGGACATCATCAATTAAACCAACGATACCACCCGACGAAAGCTCAAAAATAGTTGTTATGTATTTCGTTTCCGCAATACTATCCCGGAGTAGCTTTTCAGTACTCATATAATCCGGTATTTTGGCTTCCTCATCCTGAAGCTTCAGATCCTTTGTATTGCCAATTTGTTGTGGAATGGCAATCACTTTCAGATTACCTTTTTCGTTCTTTTGCAATTCTTCACTATCAAAAGACTGCTGCGTGATCGCTCCTAGCGTACGTTGAAACAACGGTTGAGCTCGAAAAAAAGCTACACCAAGAGGTGATAAAGCAGGTGATTCAGCAGCTGATATACTGTAGCGTACATCAATTCCGGACAAGTAGCCACTTTCACGCCCGCATGATTCTGGCAAAGATTCATCCATAGACATATCTAATTCATAAACGGATTTCCGTGTTACACTTCGCTGTACTCCATAGGTAGAATAATCGGATACATAATCGACATCTTCGGATTCACATGATTTGTCGTGAGTGGTAGAGCCTGCCACAGTCTGAGTTACTAAATCATCTGCCAGCATCCGAGTAGCTGGTAACCTGGAGGGCGAAAGTAGTGATCTGAAAGTGTCGCAGTTGTCAACACTTAACATTTGGCCATCATGAGTCTCCGCAGTCTTCGGATGTTCATCCTCTTCTGGCTTTTGCTGGACGTACTGCAATTGTTGTTGTTGTTGTTGTTGCTGCTGCAGATTATATGTCCTTTCCAGTTCTTCCTGTAAATGATGACATACCATTGCGGCCGAATAAACACGATAATAACTGATTGCTGAAACCTGAAATCTATTACTGTTAACAAAATGTTTGTCACTTACTGAGGATCGCCTTGTTGCTGTTGCTATCATTCCTTGAATGGTTGGTATTATTGGCTTCAAATGTATCCGACGGCTATTGCCACTTTTACGGTCATTTTTTGAGGAATCCGTTTGTTGTTCTGCTAAATCATCTTCATCACTGCATGAGCTAGAAACTTCTGGATGACAGTTCACACGTCTCGTAGTAGCACGGCGACTTTTGCTACTTAGACGTCGTAAAATTTTGTCTAATTTTTCAATAGCATTCATCTTTTAGTAAGACATGGAATAAGTTGTCACTGCGTTCTTTGCTGCAACATCGATAGCACCGCACCACTATCATTCAAAAGCTTCGAACAAACTTTCCTCTGAAAATCCCGAATCTCTCGTGACAATGAGATCGTAAAAGCTTGTTCAATAGCCGTAATCCATCTTCAATAAACTTTTCTCGTAAAATTCTGAGTAATCCTGAGACATTCGGATATTAAAATGATTTGCGCAAAAGTATGTAAATACCGAATTTGACTGCTCGTGAAAATAAATATACTCGATGTGATGCATGATTACTTAGAGAAATTGTCCAGCAATATGACATTAAAAATAACACTGGGAAAAGATAAAGACAAATTGAAAAGGAAGTTTCGAGAAAATGTTTGTCTGTGCTGCTAATTGTCAGAAGGAGAAAAAAATTATTAAACTTCAAGAGTACTCTTGAATTACCATTAAATATGTTCATTAGTGGATAGCTTATTAACATCAATAAACCATTTATCAATAGGCAAGATTTAATATCATCCAAATTCTTCAACATTCCCTGTGATCTCCCATTTATGCTGATTAATTTGCAATAATTAATAGTAAAAGATAATAGATAAAGTTTCTAAGCCGGGAAAACAAGTAAATATAATTCTATTTAAAATTGGAAAAGATGAAAATGGCCAAGAATCAGAGTGAAAAAGGAGGGAATGAAGTGATATTAAAAACATATAAATTTGGTAGAAACTAGTATTCAGCAATTAATGAGGCACTAATTGTACTAATTTCGATAAATCTTAAAACTGTTTGGAAAAAGGAAGAAATGAACTAAGCAGAAAAAGAAAGATAGATTGATTAAATGACAATGAAAGGAATTGTTAAAAATGGAGGGAAAGAAGAAGGATAACAATATGCATAAAATATACATTACAATCATTCAAAAGCAAGAAGACAAAAAAAAGAGAAATATGAGGGGAAGACGAAGTAGATTTACTGGGTCGCTCCTTGTTAAAGGACAGATCACTCCTCTAATTTTTTTCACTTCTGTAAAATATTTCAATAGTATTTGAAAGAAGTGCGACTGTCCTTCTTCTCACGGCATTGTGCGAATTTTTGCATCATCCTAACACTTTCTATCAACCACCGCCAATAAATCGTGATGCACAGACTGTTATCGAAATTTTTTCTAACCTTCACGGATAGAGGAACATAACAATTTTCAATCTTAGTCATTATTACAATCAATTGTTGTGATAATGAGATAGATGATATTACATGATAGATGTTCATATATCTTTCTATATTTGATTGTAATTATAAGCTGTAGATTCAATTGGATTTAAATACAAATTTAAATTTTAAAAAAGAATCAATGAAGTGTAGCAGTTAAAAGAAAATGTTATAAAGATTTGAAGATTTAATTTGCAATGTTAAAAATTAAGCTTTGATTCAATGGTTATTTAGAATATTGTTTTATACAAATAACGTAATCAAATTTGGATGAAATTTTTAATAACATTTAATATTTACGATATTAGTGATAAATTATCGACAACAGAGGAAAGGAAAAACAAAATTTGCAGCGTATTTCTGCAAATATAGATAAATCATTGGAGTGCATAAATTAAATTCTTTAAATTTCAGTTCATATTTATGAGATATTATGAAATTTTCCTGTTGAGTTGCACCGCTAAATGTAGTGATGACCTTCGAAAGTATTGAGGAGTAGCTCATTCAAAAAAATAAATAAAAAATAAAAATCTGTGCAAACAAAATTAAAATATCCTAAACGGAAAAACATCTTTCGTTAGATCAGAAAGAACTGAAAAGAGTAAATAGAAAAGTTTATACATTTAAACAGATGACAAATTTTACTGGAAAGAACTGTGAATGAACTGTTTTTACAATTACATTTTACAATAAGAGATGACTTTTGTTAAGGGGAAATTCCCTCAATTTTTCCCTCTCTTTTTACTTTATTTATAGATAATACTGTCTTAATTAGTTCATGATAACACATCCTTTAACCTTTAAAAGTAAAATTTATCTATGGTTTATCTCACTAAGCTGTATGGTAGTTCTGACGGAAAAAGCAATGCTTCTAATCAGATTCCCCTTTTAACCTTTCATTAAATTCAACTCAAAATAAATCTGGAAACTCAGAATTTATGTGATTGCAGTTCATATAATCATGTGAAAAAGAAAATCGTCGCAAGTTAACATTTTAGAGTAATAATTATTTTTTAGAAATCATATTGAATGTATTAATGGAGGAATTCAGTGAAACATTTCTTTCCAAAAAAAGACAGAAAAAAAAGAAAAAAAAAGGAAAGCCAATTCGATTACAACTCAATGTTCCAGTGCAACAGAGAAGAAATTTATTAGTGAATTTGAAGTTGAAAAGGAAAACTAAGAAAAAAAAAATTTTTTTTGAAGTCAGTTCGATCTGTAATAAAACGATGCTAATATTTTTAAGTAAATCTTTACAATTTTGTTTAAAAAATAAGCAAAAGAACAATCAGAGATCAAGCCTTTGTTACTGCTTTGTTCTTTTCTTTTTGAATTTAGTTTAAATGTTTTATCTATTACTGCCGAAATAAGCTGAAATGATTACTTTGTTCATCATAACTCTCTTTATAATATTAATGGTTACCTTCTCCCATAACTGCTATTAACCTTCCTTTCTAAAAAAAAAAAAAAAAAAAATGAAAAAGTTTAACAGATAAAATTGAACAATAAATTCTTCTACACAAATACTGGTAAGAATAATTGGCCATATAAAAATAAAATCTATTCTTTGGCGTTTGACTTTTTATACATTTATTTTAAGCGAAACTGTACAACCGGTTTTCTGCAAACTGATAATTACTTTATAGCACTTAGATAAATACAGTCTTAACGTTGCATACGCTGCACGCCACACGTGTTGCATCGGAATTTATTTGTGCAGAAGCAATGCCGGATGACTACCAAAACCAAATTATAATATCCAAAAAGCAGTCATACTGCAATTATTTTCAACTTTTCCTACATTCTACTTTTCTCCATTTCTTCAATTTCGAAAAAAAAAAAAAGAAAAAAAAAAGAATTCTTCCATCTGATATTTGAATTACATTTAAAATTAGCAGACTTTAAAATAAACTTCAAATAGGCATAAATTTCTTTTGGAGAAGAAACTAGAAGAACTAATCAGTTAACGATATTTGTAATTTTCAGTTCGATGTAGATTCAAATTTCAGCAAATTTAATCAAGACAAACAGATGATGAATATGGTACATTTAAAAGTTTCAAACAGTAGAGAAGAACGAGTTTCTCGAGCTAATGATGAGCATAAAATGCTTTTAATACCGAAATTTGACAGGCTCAACTGAAAATCATAGATCAGAAAAAAAGTATACCTTCTTTATCTTAAAAAGAGAAATTTGATAGCGGCTTAAATTATTAGTACTATCAAAATGTTATTGACACTCCATCTTTTTTTTTTTTTTTTTTTATTTTGAATTTCAGATTTCATCACCAATGAAAATTTAACTTTTCCAGTGTTTCATTATTTTCATTACCTTATTTTTAGAAATATACCTAATTAAATAAAGACTTTTTATCTGTCTTCCCTATTACACTACTGTTTGTTCTGTTCATTTGTGCCAACAAATAAGGACTATAAGAGTTTCGAAAGAATGCAATTCGTTTATCAAATTAGATGGCAAAATTGGACGATAATTTAATCACTCTTTACAAATTGGTAATGAAATTTGAAATTTAAAAAAAAAAAAAAAAAACAGATGGACATAACAACAAATATAAACCGCTACGGAAATCTCTGAGAAGGTAATTAATTAGATGGATGGGCACGAACCGATACCATAATTTCATCCTCCTTTACCTCTTCCTTCACTTTTTCACATTTGTACGATTAATTATATGACCTTTGCAAAACATGCAAAAATAACAACTACATGAAAAAAGTTAGCAACAAAAACGTCAAAAAAAAAAAAAAACGGTCATCATTTCAGGACGGCAATAACGACCATTAATCAATGTGAGAAAATAGTCCCAAAAGACTGCTTTTTTTAAATTAAAAATCAGTACCACTTTATCCTCCTTCCTTCCCGATAAACACAAAATGCGTAAATTTACTCTAAAGTTCTTTTTTTTTTTTTTTGTGAAAATCTAAAGTTCTTTTTTTAACTTTGGTGACGGAATAGGCAAAAGTTAACAATGTCAAGAGATGTAAACGGATTTCTTTTCCTCTTACTGTCAACTATGGAAAAAAAATTATTGCTGGAAGTGCTATAAAATCCGGTATCAAATAAAAGTACGATTTATTAAGACAAAGTATATTTTTGAAAATTATTTCATTTAGCTACTTACCTCATATTGACAAAGGAAGGAATGAGGAAGAGGTATAAAAAGGAGCAGCAAATGGAACAAAATCGATGAAATGATATGCTGTGATTACTTTATGAGGAATTACATTGAGTAATTATTTTAAAAAGTTTGAAAATGGTGAAAAAAGTATCGAAGTTTTATATTCTATGGGAAAAGTGTCAATCAATTGTAGAAGCATCAAATTACTCAAAATGACAGTTTCTAACGATAAAATAAAAATTAAAAAAAAAAAAAAAAACCACTTGACGATAGCTGTTCTCCTGTGCCATCCCCAACGAAAACATTGGAATCCTTTAAATGCTATATCATCAAAACAAAAGTGAATAATTCTTCTAATCCGAAGATAGCATCGCTTATGAAGAGTACATTCATGACATCATATCCAACATTTCGTATTACTTTGAACTCGATTTCTTACTAAATTGATATTTAATGATTTGTTAACGATAAAAAAAAAATGTGATAAGAAAGAAAGCTGCCAACATAATCAACTTAAAATGATAAATAACTTGTCAACATGATTGATTTTTTATGGCCATAAATAGATATTGCTGAGAGAATGTTCCCTCTCTACATAACATATAATGTATGCTTTTCGATTTCTTACCAAATTGACAGGCAACTC